GTTTTAATCATTGTTTCGCATTATGTGGCACCGAATGGTGTTTGGGTAGCGAGGAGTGCGCGATGCAGTGAAATGGATATTTGTGCATTGCAAGCAAAAATTGTCTTGGTATCTCGCCCAATAATGGTCAAAGGGACGGGCCTCCTCTGTGATTCTCAGTGGATATAGCTCTCAGGATGAACTTCGTGGGACTCTTCTTGTGTGTCCATTAGGGCTTTACGACGCGCTCAGCTGCTGACGCTATCTGGCGTCACCTGCCTCTCACCATGGCAGGAAGGGTGAGCACCGCGGGGAGTCGAGTGGAACTCTTCTCGAACAAAGGAGTTTCTGTTAGTTGGAGATGGTTAGTGACCTTGGCAGTGAAGCTTCCACTCTTCCCTCGCCAAAAATTAGTCCTGCCTTTCATACCAGTTCTAAAAGTTTGCTGTAGCACAATGCGGGTGGTTTTCCCTTATGCACGTTTTAAGAAACCATAATTTTATCATGTTTGGCAGCACGAAAACAAAATCAGGTAGTGGACCAACGAATATGTTCCGCATTCCGACAACAAGGCTCCAAATGTGTACCTCTAATGGATTACATTCTCCAGGTCCGCCACGGCCAGCAGATCCCTGCCTTTTTCAGTTCGCCAGCGGCTTTACAACGGTATGTTGCTTTAGCGTGCAGGCGGGCTGACCACAACATTGCAGGGTCTCTTCTCACCACAATACAACATCCATAGGTCAACGCCTGAGCGGACAACGGACACCAACGGACACCTGAGCAGTGGCCGGCGCGTCGCAGTGACCGCCTCACGACCTGATGAACCACAGTGACCGCCTCACGACCTGACGAACCGCAGTGACCGTCTCACCACCGGACGAACCGCAGTGACCGCCTCACCACCGGACGAACCGCAGTGACCACCTCACCACCGGACGAACCGCAGTGACCGCCTCACCAGATGAATCACAGTGACCGCCTCACGACTTGACGAATCGCAGGGACTGCCTCGACGCCCGACGAATCGCAGTGACCATCTCACGACCTGATGAGTCGCAGTGACCACCTCACCACCTGACGAACCGCAGTGACCGCCTCACGACCTGACACCCACCTGCGGGGAAAGCCGCGGTCCATATCGCCGTCTGGTGGCAGGGCTGTCAAACACCGTGACCTGAAGTGACCCGGTTGGGTCAGTGCTGCCATCGGACACGCTCATTCGCGCTCACTAACTCTCCCGCTGTATCCCTGTAGCTCTCCCGCTCTACTACTGACCACTCGACTCGTATATGGGGCAAAGCACGAGAAATCGTTGTAACAGTCTTCATGGCAATTGTTTTCTTCCTTCCCTAATTTAGAGGTCGTCACGTTTATATTTACACCTTTGCACGCTGGGACTCACTGCCCACAGATCCGTACGTCGATGAAGAAGAATGCGCAATCAATAGGACTTACGATGTTTTTTGAAATCACCCTATTACAGCAGAATAGATTTACGCCGTCAAATGTGTGGAAATTTTGAGTGAAATAATGCAGTGCGATACCCCTGGGGGCAAAGCTCGCGCGATGTCTTACCTTTACCATGGCGTAAACTTACTTACCACTTACCAAGTACGCTAAAGAGGAAAAGCCAACCAAAGAGCCGGCTGCCCCCCCCCCCCCCCCCCCAGGGCGAACCCATTTTCCAAGAGCCGCAGGTGCCGAACGCGGACCATATGCCCCGTGGTCAGCAGCTTCAACAGGCCGACCGACCACACACAGCGTACCTCATCGAGTTTCACCGCCCGCCTCACAGCCAAACCACAAGGCCCTGTCGGCCGGGCTAATCGGTCGCACCCGCCGCCACACCGTGCAGACGCGTGCAGCGAGTCGGCAATGAGTCGTGGCGTGCTCGAGCCGATCACTCACGCCAGCCGCGTTATTCAACGTCGTAACACTTACGGCAGTTGCAACTGGGGGCGATCACGAGAAAGCGGGTGTGATTACGGTGGCCGGTAAATCACGCCGAGGGCCGTCGGCGTCCGCCGAGCTAACCCGAGCGCGGCCGGTCTGCAGGCGGCCGCCGTGCGGGGGAGAGGTTAATGCGGCGGGGGCCACCTCGGAGGTTTGTCGGGTGGTATAGCGCTGTTCGCCGCATGCTGGTCCCGGGTACTGGTGCCGCTACTGTGGTGTGTTTGTGCGACTCTGTGATAGTAATAGTAAATGTAATAGAACGACTGATTTTGGAGGTTGCTCTCTGGAATAAGAGAACTGATTTGGGCTAGTTTGATATTTGAGCTGTTTGCTGTTATGACGACGTCATTCGTATTGCACCCGGGTGGTTTTCGGTTTCATGGCTTGTTTGGTTTCGTGACGGAGCGTTAAGAACACGCCCTCAATATGTGCATCCACTTCATCGGGCACAAATCCTGCCTGGTGGAATATTAACGCAGGCTAGGATGGGGTGAATTTGCTCCCCCCCCCCCAAGGTTTTACTATAGCTATCTTTGATCTCTGCATATTGTCAACACTTTCATACATTGCCAGCCCCGCATAACTGTGGGCAATTGAATAGCGGATCGGTTGTCACAAAAAGAAATAGAGTAGAGAACAGTTGAATTGATATACCGCTGGCAAAAGGAGTGTCAAGTGCCGCCAATTATTCCCACACCCGCAGCTAAAATGAACAACCAACTAACACACACACACACCACACACACCACACACCCACACACACCACACACACACCACACGCACACACACACACACACACCACACACGACACTAATATATATATATATATAATATATTATATATATATATATATATTATATATAATATGTGTGTCATAAACGGGATTATTCCGACAAGGTGGCACTTTTACCTTGCTGATTCAAATTTGTAACGTACGAATGCGCACTCAGGTGAGGTCATTTGACCCCCCCCCCCCAAGGTTTTTCTAGAAGATTTCCGACCGGTTTAAGGAACCTCGCTGATTGATATTTGTTAAACATTTAAAACGTATGCATTACGCAATGTCATGTGCGAGTAAGTAACTTCAAAAATCATACCAGAACTTCGCTTCAATCACTAAGCTAGTCACGGTGCTTGTTGCAATTATGCAAATTGGGCTTGTGGGAATCTCGTGATTGCCGTTTATGTCGTGGGAAGACGTCGAGTATCATGATTGAATAGCGGAGAATGGAGAGCCTTTGCACCTAGTTACGCGTATGGCAACATCAAGTTGAGGGAAACAACGATGCAGAAAATGATCCGCGTAACGTACTGGCGACTCGCATAAGGGATGTCGCCAAGACTAAGAGTTAAAGCGAGAGTTGAAGAAAACAAACAAAACGAGCGAAACAGCGAAATTGGAAACAAGAGGCCCGCATAACAAATGTTAGCGAGTATAGGGAAATATCGTCCAAAGGAAAGAGTTTAGAAGAAAGTACAAAAATGGACGAAGCATGCCATATCGGAAGCATACAAAATCCGCGTAGCGTCAGTGACGTGCTTCTCCTCCTATTCTGGCACCAGGTCTTGACCCGAGTGTCGGTGACGTGTCTCACCTCTTATTCTGGTACAGGCCTTAACCTGGGTGTCAGTGACGTGCCAACCTCCTGTTCTGGTACCAGGTCTTGACCGAGTGTCGGTGACGTCTCTCACCATCCTTTTCTGGTACAAGGTCCTGACCTGAGCGTCGGTGAAGTCTCTCACCCCTGTTCTGGTAACCAGATCTTGACCTGAACGTCGGTGGGGTGCCTCACCTCCTGTTCTGGTACCAGGTCTTGACCTGAGCGTCGTAGCGTGCCTCACCTCCTGTTCTGGTACCAGGTCTTGACCTGAGGTCGGTGATGTGCAGGCTGGCGGCATCTCCAGCCGGTCCTGTACGCTCAGGTACTTCTGGCGCTCGAAGCTGCGCTCCAGAGTCTGCAGGGGGTCGGTGAAGGAGGTGCGGGCCCTGCGGCACCGGCTGATCCGGCCGCCCTCTCTGGGCGGCTGGAGGGGCCAGGCGCCGGCCTCACCCGCGCGGCTCGGTCCAGCCCACGAGCCCTGTGAATGCGCATTGAGCGGGACGGCGTGCAACCGCTTCGGCTGCTGGCGTTCGTCCGCTTCGGTGCGAATGAAGGCAGGCCTCCGGTCAAGGGTTTGCAACATTTTATAAAAATATCGAATAGAGACTGAGTACCTTACTAGATCTGGTATCCAGGTTTTCAAGTTGGCATGGCAGCCACAGCATGGCTTTGTGCCGCCGGACCCATCATTTTGAAACCAAAAACTGAAATGTATTGAAAAACTAACATGCATTGGAAAAATGGTGCCCTTTTTCTAAGAGGATGACGGGGTGCGCAGAGGTACCTAAATAGCTATAGTACCAAAGGTGAGCATAGGCGGCCAGTTCCACCGTCGGCAGGCTGCTCAAAGTGCATGCCGAGATCAGGGGCCTCTACGGGCAGCAATTACGAATCGGCCACATAAACATTGGGACCCACGGGCCGAAAGGCAAAGCTACGAAGTCCGAAATATCCGTGCATTCGGGCATGTGCAATCATTTTATACACAACGCTCGTGATGTACCCGTACGCACGCATCTCATTTTAGCCGCAGCAATGCTTCTGTTTTTCCGACCGCTAAATGGGGATGTGTCCCCACTTTCTTTGCGAAGCTACACATGGCTGCAGACGGAGTATTTTTTGAGGAGCAAGTCGGCCCTAATTGTATTATAGCTCGCAGCGTGAGGTCTTGCCTGTCACTTGTAAACGCTGCGCCAATCCAGACCAGCCCACCTCCCACACCTGCGACCCCCGCTGATCACGTGATCACCGGCTGTCCTGACATCCCCTCCGGACGCGTGCCCGACGGGCCGTCAGTGACGTTCGTCACCGCGGCGACGGCGCGTGTCCCGGCTGTCATGTGACTCTCTGACCGGTGA